ATATATATATATATAACACGGAACAGAGTGAATGGAAAAATTCACATGGAAAGTATTGCGCAATAAGGAAAGAGTGACAAATGTTGCTTCGGAACAGATTGGTTAAACCAAAAAACAATGTTACACGGAAAGAATATCGGAATTTACATTGGAACAAAGTGAATTAGTCATAAAATTCACAAGGAAAATGGACAAGAGTAACATTGTATTGAATGACGAAATTTCACATTGGAAAAGAATAAATTGGAACAGTGCGAAAAAAAAAATCGCATCGAAAAAGAACAGCGAATTCGCATCGGAGAAGAACATCGCAATTCACATCGGATAAGAAGAGCGAGCAACTCGTTCGGAACAGATACACACACATACACGAAGTCATGAGAGGGGAAAGAGGAGACACTTGTTCGCGTTGCCGGCATTATTAAACTGTCAACGAGCAAATTCAGTCGACTCTCCGTGTGAATATATTTTCTGAGTTGCGTTTCACGCATAAGAGTTACATTTTTACGAATAAAAATCGTTTATAATCACACAATTTGCAGTAAAATTAATACTGAAACATTTTTCAAAGCGGATAATATCATAGCCAAGAAAAAAAAGAGTAAGTATTTCTGCCAAAATGGAAAAGAACAGTTTAGACAGCGTGTGGTTATTGTGTAGGAAAAGAGAATTGCGAAATAGGATGCACAGGAACAGAAAATCAAATTGGAAATAGTCCATCAGATTTTTTTTTTGGATAGATATTAGTGAAAAACTTTGCATCGGAAAGAATTTAGGATAGAAAATTGCAACACATAGTTAATGTAAAAAATCAAAGTTCTGTGTCTTTGGATTGTGTTTGATATGTGATGTGCGCCATTGTTGCCGACTCAAACAAGATCGTGCATGCACACGCAGCACAAGGCACACAGTTCCGAGAAAACAAAAATGCGCAGTAGCACTGTTTACTTAACGGTTGTTGTTTCAACACACAGTTTCGTGAGCGGTGCATAGAAATGGAAAAGAAAAGTTGGTTGAAACAAACACAACTTATGGAATAGCGATCGCTGGATAGATGTTCTGTTTGAACAAATTCACATTGGAATAGATTAAAAAGAATGCACATTGGAACAGGTTATAAACAAATAAAACAGGAACATGAAATGTTTTTTTTTAAGGAAAGAGAGCTCAATTGGAATAGATTTACTTCGAATTTGATTCGAACTTAAAGCAATTTTTATTTATTTATTTTTGTCTATGGACAAAAGGATAAAAGAAAGGAAAATAATCGGAAAAGAGCATTCAATTGGAAACATTTAATCATTAACGCCGTGTTGCAATGGAACAATATTTGAACTAAATGAAATTAGTTGGATTCTTTTGGAATTATGAAATTAAATAAAATTTGTTTCTATTTCTGGATCAGAGTTTTACCACAGATCTGGTGAACAACTGTGCACAGCGTTCAGTATGTCGGCGAAAAAGCCAAAAGTAGCAGATTCAAAGGAACAGAGGCACTCAGCCAAGGATCAGAATCAAAATCAAAATCAAAACCAAGGACAAGTGGAACAACCGCTCAGTGATGAGGCAAAACAATTCCAATCGGTTCAAAAGCATATCAATCGATTGGCTGGGTTCGTGCTGGGTGATGACTTCAAGACTATCTCGTATGAGGCGGTGAACATTCGCTATGATCGTTTGGAAGATTTATGGAAGAAGGGCAACGCCTGGTACGAAAAATTGATACAAGCCGTTGATAGCAATTCAGGCTTGATTGATTCTTATGACGTTTGCTTTGCGACCATGGAACAGCAATACTTTGAAGCCGCATAAGCTATGATTCAACGAGTTAAAGAATTGGAGCCAAGCGCCGGAAAAGAAAAATCAGCAGCAGCTGAAGGATCAGATTCGGAAAAAGTGATGAAAATCCAAGTGGCACCCAAAGAATACGACATAAACAACACGTGGGGTGACTTCGATGGATCATGGCTCAAATGGTTGGGGTTCCGAGATCGTTTTAAAGCCGCAATTCATGACAATGTTGATGTGTCTGATTCGTACAAACACTCGTACCTGGTCAGATCGTTGAAAGGTGAAGCAGCAAAGGCACTCGGTGAAAGTCATGAAGCCAAAGGCAGCTATCAAGAAGCATGGAACAGATTGTCACAATTGTACAACAAACCGTATCAGATTGCGCTGGAATATATGCGCCAATTCTACCGATTGCCAGTGCTGCATACAAGAGCCACTTCAACAGAGCTGCAACGTATGGCAAACGCCACTCACGAAACGATTCGCCAACTCCGAGCACTTGAATTGCCAGTAGATCAATACGATTTTGTACTCGTGCACAATTTGCATGAAAGATTGGATCCTGAAACCGCACGTGATTGGGAAAAATATCGTAACCAAGACGAAATGCCCACGGTAAAGATTATGTTGCAATTTTTGGACAGAGAAGCAGCGGCTGCAGGAAATGTTGACGAAAATCACCGTCGGATCAGAGCATCGCAACAAATCAAAGGACAGAGCAAGTGCGGGATCAGCAAAAGGAAATGAGACAGGAAGAGAAACCGGTGCAATACCGAGAAAATTTCCATGCGAAGCATGTCCGGAAGGCAGCGGCGAAACTCACCCACTGTTCCATTGTCCAAGCTTTGCAGCTTTGAACATCACGGGACGGAAAGATTTCTTGCGTCGTCGTCGCATATGCCCAAATTGTTTTAAGAAAGGCCATAACATCAATTCGTGTGAATCACAAAAGAAATGCGGTTTGCCACAATGTCAAGGAAATCCATGGCACAACAGTCTCATTTGCCCATTCAAGCAAAACACACAACAAGGTTTGACGGCAACCAATGCCACCAAACGAGGAACAAGCGCATGACTAGACGTGGTTCCAGGAAAGAAATGGAAACAGGAGCAGATGGAAACAGAGAGCAACAAATTGTTCAAGGATAAATTGAATTTGGTTAACGAAAAATTGGAATTGTTGAATGATCAAGAAAAATTGTTGAAGGATCAGATGGAAACGAGTAAAAATAGGAAAAGAAAATTGAAATGTAATGACGGAAAAGAAAACACGAAGAAAAATAAAATGAATCATTCCACACCGTATGACCATGAGTGTGATTATTTTGTACAAGAGAAAAATACCTTTTTAGCGACAGCAGTGGTTCACGTAAAAATAGCAAAGGATCAGTATGTAAAAGTAAGAGGATTTATGGACTGTGGAGCTCAACCAAACTTAACGAGCTATAGCTTCTTTCACAACGCATTGCGACAGTCACTCACTGCGTTACCAATATCAAGGAAAATGATTGGAATCAATGGCCAATCATTCCAGATCAAACAAAAAGTAAACTTAAGCATTCATCCTTGGTTTAATGAAGACGAGTGTATAAGAGAAGCATTCTGGATCATGCCTAAAGAGAGTGGTTGGCAACCATACATGCCGGATACTCCAATGAACCCATTTAAAATTAGGAACTCAACTGACTTGCCATTTGCAGACCCGAATTACTGGAAAACAGAACAAGTACACCTTTTGTTCGGTGTAGGTTTTTTCGCAAAAATTATTGTATCGGTGGTGGATAGAGGAATAGACGGAATAGCTCAAATGAATACAGCTTTAGGAATAATAATTTTTGGATCAGATTCGCAATATTTAGATGAGGAAACAGGTCAAGCGCTTTCGGCAATAGAATACAATGAGGAGGATCAACTAGATAGGTTGCTAGAGAGAATTTGGACACTAGATCAAATAAAAACGAAACCAAAACTTACCGAGGAACAGATTGCTGTCGAAAAACATTTCATGGACAATTTTAAGCGTGAAAAAGATGGAAGATTTGTTGTAAAGATTCCATTGAAAGAAAACATAACATGCTTTGGAAGTTCGAAGCAAATAGCCCTAAAACGGTTCATGTACATGGAAAGAAAATTATCAAAGGATCAGAGAATGAAATCTATTTACGTGGAAAAGATGAGGGAAATGATTAGGTTAGGACACATGCAATTAGTGAACAAAGAACCAAAACAGAATGAGCTTGTGTACCACATTCCGCATCACTGCATTGCAAAAGAAGATCGAATCGTATATGATGCGAGCTGTAAAACAGATACTGGTGTCTCTCTAAATGACATTCAGTTACTCGGAGCTAAATTGCAAAATGATTTGTTTATGACAATAATGCGAGTAAGAAGACATCGGATTGTAATTTACGCTGATATAAGGAAAATGTTTAATCAGGTCAAATTATCAAAGGAACAGTGGAATTTACAGACAATTTGGTGGAGAGAAAATGAGTCGGAACCTTTAAAAGAATACTGGCTGACGGTTGTATCTTTTGGTTTGACTTCATCAGCCTATTTGGCCGTTCGTTGTGTAATTCAAGCGGCCAGAGAAGCACAGGAAATTTATCCAGAAGCTGCAAAAGCTATTGAAAATGACTACTACATGGATGACTGCGTTACAGGAACGCATATGGAACAGAAAGCAATAGAACTTGCAAAAAACATGGATCAAATTTTAAAAGGAGCCGGCTTTGAGCTAAGAAAATGGAAATCGAACAATAAAACAGTCTCTAAAGCCATGGATTCAGTTATGGAAAAATCAATGATATTTTCCGAGGAGGATAGTTCAACCATTTTAGGTCTCAAATGGTTGATAGAAAAAGACCAATTTACGTTTATTGTGAAATCACCAAAAATTGAGGGAAAACTCACCAAACGGAAAATTGCGAGCTGTGTAGCCCAGCTATACGACCCGAATGGCTATATTTCACCAGTAATAATGATTGGTAGGAAAATAGTACAAGACCTTTGGAAAGAGAAATTTGAATGGGATCAAGAAGTGTCCAAGGACATACAAAAAAGATGGGAACAGTTTTGGACAGACATAATTCAACTGGAAAAGTTCAAAATAAACAGATGGATTGGAACTTCGGATGATTGTGACATACAAATTCACGGATTTGCTGATGCATCAGTTATCGGCTACGGAACAAGTATCTATGTGCGTGTCGAACATTTAAATGGAAAGATTACGAGCAGCTTATTGATATCGAAAATGCGTGTTGCTCCACTCAAAACAGTCACAATTCCAAGGCTTGAGTTGACAGCAGCTGAAATGCTATCACGTTTATACGAACAGGTAAAAACATCAATAGAATGGAACAGAATACCATATAGTTTATGGTCGGATTCGACTATTACATTGCATTGGATCAGGAAAGAGCCGCACAGTTTGAAAGTGTTTGCAGCAAATCGTGTTGCTTCAATACAAGAAAGAACAAATATTGAATGCTGGCACCATGTTGACTCAAGTGACAACCCAGCTGATTTAGTGAGCAGAGGCTTATTGCCATCGGATTTAGTCGATAACAAGCTTTGGTTGCATGGACCAGAATGGCTTACAAAACCAAGATCAAGTTGGCCATCGGAACGTTTTATCCATAAAGAGCCACCTGGAGCAGAAATGTTAGCCGAAGTAAAAGTAAATATGGTATCGACATTCAGAGACTCTCTACGGATCAGATTGAAAGGAAATAAAGACAGTGTCTCTTTGATAGAATATGCTGGAAAATTGGAAAAAGCCGTAAACATTCTTAGTTATGTTAATCGATTCATCAAAATGAAGCTGAATAGAGTAACTGTGAAGAGCAGAAGGAACAGAAGAGGCGAAATTGTTCAAGAAGTTGTGCCACCAACAATGGAAGAGAAAGCAGAAGCAATGAATTATCTGTTGAGGAAATCGCAGCAAGAGCATTTTAGTAAAGAACTTGTTTATTTGGAAGAAAAAAGAACTTTACCGAAAAGAAGTAGGATAGAATCACTCAATCCCATTTTGGATAGTGATGGAATTTTACGTGTCGGCGGCAGAATAGGAAGATCAGAATTAAGCTATGAAATGAAATATCCGGCGATAATTCCAAATGGCTCGCGACTGGCATGGCTAGTAATCGACAATGCACATCGTCAAACCAAGCACGGTGGGGCACAGGTGATGATGCAGTATATTAGACAATTTTATTGGATCCCACGGATAAGAAGTGAACTAAGGAATTTTGTGCAAAAGTGTGTCGTTTGTGCTAGATTAAATGCACAATTGGAAAGTCAGCTTATGTCAGAGCTACCATCAGAAAGAGTGCAACCAGGGAAACCTTTTTTGCATACAGGATTAGATTATGCCGGACCTTTTGAAACAATTATGCCGGGTGTATCAGGGGATCTTCCGAGGAAAAAGTGTTGGATTGCAATATTCGTATGCTTAAAAACGAGAGCAATACACATTGATATCGTGTCGGACTTGTCATCGATGGCGTTTATCGCTTGCTATGAAAGATTTATCGCGAGAAGAGGAAGATGCGAAAAGTTTTTTAGCGACAACGGAACATCTTTCGTCGGAGCAGAGAAAGAGCTGAAAAAGGCAATGGAACATTGGATAGATAAACAAACTCTCGATCATCTGCACAACAAAGGAACACAATGGCATTTTATGACTCCAGCTGCACCTCATCAAGGAGGCATTTATGAGGCGGCAGTTAAGTCGATGAAGTTTCACTTGAAGCGAATTGTTGGACAGAAAGTGATGTCATACGAACGGCTTTTGACTTTACTTACGCAAATAGAAGCCATACTCAATTCCAGACCATTGCACCCACTGAGTGATGACCCTTTAGATATGCAAGCTCTCACTCCAGGACATTTCTTAATCGGTGAACCGCTCTTGCTACCTTTACCGTTTAATTTGGATAAGAGGCCGGACTCAACTGGGATCAGATTATGGAAAGATCGACAGAAGATGTTGAAAACATTTTGGGATCGCTGGCAGTCGGAATATTTGACCTCTCTTCAAGAAAGAAAGAAGTGGAGGAGAGAGAAGGAAAAACTAAAAGTCGGTCAGCTTGTCATCATTAGAACAGAGAATTTTCCCCCTACAAGTTGGGCTCTAGGCAGAGTCAAGGAACTTATTGTCAGCAAGGATGGATTGGTACGAAATGCTGTTATACAAACTTCAACGAATGTGCTGAAGCGGCCGGTACAGAAGTTATGCATCGTTCCAGTCGAATCAGAAAAATTAAACTAAGGATCAAT